AATATCAAAATTCTCTTGAAGATTTTAATAAATATTTTCTATCGACAGCTGGAAAAATTATTCAGATGTTAGATATAGCAGCATGAAAAGTTCAAGTAATAACAGAAATCCAAAATATTACTTCTCCAAACTATTACACAATTCTTTTCCTAATATAAAATGTAATAATACGTCTACTGAAGAAATTTAAATAATTATCAAGTCTTTAAGATGGAAGAATTTGCATGGTTATGATGAAATTTCTACAACAATATTGCAGGTCAGTGCTCCTTTTATCAGGTCTCCTTTAAATTACATTTGTAACAAATTTATAATATCTAGAACCTTTCCTAGTCATTTAAAATATTCTGTTGTAGAACGATTATTCGAGAAAGGTGATAAGAAAAACATGACTAATTACGAGCTGATCTCTTTATTAACTTCATTTTCTAAGGTCTTTGAAAAAATCATATGTGAAAGACTTTTGCAGCATATTGAAATTAGTAGCGTTTTAATAGCAGAACAGTTTGGTTTCAGACCATCTGCATCAATGGATAAGGCTTCCTATAGATTGATTGATGAGATATTAAATGTTTTGAATAACAGAATGATGGGTGGAGGCATCTTTTGTGACTTACAGAAAGCGTTTGGTTGTGTTAATCACAACATTTTATGAACAAAATTAGATTTTAATGAAATAACATGAACATCTCTTAAACTGATTAAATCTTACCTAGAGGGTAGATAACAAAAGATGATCTTAAACAGTAATTCTCCTGACTCCTGTTCAAATTGGGGAGAGATAAAGCATGATGTCCCACGGGGATCAGTACTTTGTCCATTGCTTCACTACATATTAATGGCATACTAAACACAATAAATGATAATGCTAATATTGTTCTATTTATGGATGTGGTCAGGAAGCATACGGGGACTCTAGTCTTTCCTATTCTCAAGTCTCCAGGTGGTTGAAGTTGTTAAAAACTCGCTTAACGAGCGACGTTTCGCATAACGAGTGACAAGAGGGGAAGTCCTGGATTGGGCGCTTGCTACATGAGTCTGTGTTTAGCACTCGTTCCACTAGCATCTTAGTGTCACTTGTGTGGAGGAGAGTTTGTCAGAGGAGGAGGGGGAGGAGGAGGAGGAGGAGGAGGTAATAGCAAAGCAACAATCTTCTGGCGCAATAAGAGAAATGCTGAAAGCATGGGAAACTGTTGCATCGTACTTTGAGAAGCATCACCCTAATAAGGCATTGGCTATGTGCGCTACAAATTTATTTAATGATAATGCTGTGTCGCATTTTCACCAAATTTTGAAGCGTTGGCAAAAACAAATGTCTGTAGACAGCTTTCTAGTAAAAAAGAATTACATATGTATTGTAAATAATGAACTAATTATTTCGATTTTTTGTTTTCTGCAAATCGAATTTGCATTCCAGGTTGGTTCATTCTGCATAGAAGAAAAGATGAAGATGATTCACGCTCCTTAACAATGTATATATTATTTTCTTTGAATAAACGTTATGCATAAAATTTTTTGAGTATTTTTTTCGGCATTGAATGCATTATCGTATTTTACATTAATTTATATGGGAAAAATTGTTTCGCTTAATGAGTGTTTCACCATACGAGTAAGATTCCAGAACGAATTATTCTTGTTAAGCGAGGTTCCACTGTACTTCCAACAGTACTTCCATTGTTGCACGCAGACCACTGCCTAGCAACGGCTCCAGTACTCTTGCCTATTTATGAAGCTGTTGCCTACCTGTGGTTGTTGTCTTGTTGTTTGTTTTGCAGTTCTTGCCTAGTAAAGGGTCTGTTTGCCACATTGCTCCCTCCTTAAAGCTGTTCGTTCTGAATAGCCTACAGGTGTACTGTTTCTTCTTTCGAAGGGCTGTGCTTGAGATGTCTATGTTCAGTCTTGCCTTCCTTCCCATCGGCTTGGTTCTCAGGGTGATTACTCTTTAATTGTTCCTGCTGCTGCCTCCTTAAGGTTGCTCATCCCAAGTGGCTCCCTGATAGGCTGTGTGCTGGTCCACCTATACCACAGTCAACCTTGATCTAGGGTGTCTTGCACGGTGCAGGAATGACATGGTGGGTCAGCCGTCCTTAGGTAGTGGCCAACTTCTGCCAGGAGCCAACATTGTCCTGGGTCCGTTTCTTTTGACTGTCAGCGGCACCCTACAACTAGATGCTCATCCCAGTATTGGTCCACCCTTGCTCTGATGGTTTCCACTGCTGCCTCTTTAGGGATTTCCTGATGCTCTGCTATGGCATCCGACTTTTCTTGAATGGCTTCCAAATCTATGGAGTCCATTTTGTCCAACCTTTCTTTAAAGACTGTGGCCTTCATCTCTTCTAGGCTGGCCTACATCTTCTCTGGGTTGGCCTTCGCCTTTTCTATACAGGCCTCCGTCACTTCTTGGCATGTTGTTGTCTCTTTTCACCAGACATTCATACTGGCTTCCATTCTTTCCTGATGGGTGTCCATCTTGGCTGTTATTTCTTCTTGAATGGCCTCTGTCCTGACTTGGTGGATATCCATTCGGGAGATGAGAGTACCTCGAAGGGCTTGAAATTTCTCGTTATTGGTTTCTATCCTGGCTTCCGTCTGTTCTTTATTGGCATCTGTCTTGGCTTCCAGCCTTGCCATCACTTCTTTCATTTCCTTTAGATTGGAGTCTACATTGGCTTTGTTGGTTCTTATTTCAGCCAGCAGGTGTGCTGTCATTTGTTCCATCTGCATAGCGTGGCGATATAGCTTCTTACTGCAGTCTCTAATTCAACCACTTCTGACACCATTGACCTTTGTATGAGTGACTATAGATGGGGTTTAGATTGGTAATTGGATTTATTAAACTCTTACACATCATAACTACAAGAAGCTATAGCACTATTGCTAATTCACACACACCGCAGTTCACTGCGGCATGCACTAAGTCTTCTCACTCTGCTGTGTTTTCATCAGTTGTTGCCTTGTAATGGCTTCCAACGGTGAGTGTTCCCCTTATTCTTGGTTCTCGAACTCACTCTCAGCCTCATCTGGCAGCCTGTAACAGCAACAGCTCACAAGGACTGAACCGCTGCAGTCCTCTAACCACTCAGTGACTCATCAACCAACTTGGACTACTCCACTGAAGTAACTAAATTACATCAGAGTCAGAGCTACTTTATAGCTGATTGTGTACCACCGGTTAGTTGGTCTTGGTGCCAAGCCCATTGAGGATCACGACCAGGGGTATCTTTTTCCAAATGAACCCTTGCAGTCAAAGTCCTTGTGTAACATCTTCTCTTATTTGATGATGGGTTTGTCTCTTCTGTATAGGCTTTGCCTTTGTCAAGTGTTGTATTGCACATACAGGGTATTTCACGACTTTATGGCATAACTGCAGGAGGTGATTTCCTAGGTCTTTGTGATCAAAAAAGTTCATATAAACATGTGTCTGATTTTAGATGGTTATGGAGTTATGACCGTTTTTTCATTCCCATACACACCCTCGTGTGAACCATGTCTTATCATCTGGCGGGTCGCTATTTTTAGCCAGCTACAGACAGAGCGTTCTCGTTATCTTGACACTTGAGAGGTACCTAAGGTGTGGTGCGTTGGTTTGTCCTGTCACGGCTGGTGTGGCGGCTACTGGTTTTCAGAACAGTATTCATCTCAGTGCATCTGTTAATTTCATGCTGCCATTTACATTTTCATTTGATGAGTATGCAGATATGATTTATGTGTATGGGTTTTGTGATGGTAACTCAGTTCTTGCCATAGCTGAATATCAGCAACGGTTTCCGAATCGTAGAATACCAGACCGGAGAGTGTTTCCTGCAGTTTACCAGGCATTGCAAGATACCAGTAGACTTTCCAGCGTTCGTATTGCAGATGAGCATGGTGTTAATGAAGGCGTCAATGAAGAAAGCATTGTTCGTATGGTACACCGCAGTCCACGTACGAGTACGCGAAGAATTGCAAGACAGCCAGCTGAAGCTGCTACGTGCTACCCACATGGTTCACAACCGAGCGGCATCCTGTGTTGTGGCCGGTGGCATTTTCGAAAATCAGCTTTAAGCACCAATAAATTCAAATTAAAGGGAATTTCACGAAGTTAACTTTACATTCATACTTTAAATGTATCATGTATTATGCTGGTTTATTATTTTGTTTCGTTTATGGTCAGTAATCGTTACCTTCTATTCTGAGTTTAAAATGGTCATAACTCCATAACCGTCCAAAATTGGACACATGTTTATGTGAACTTTTTTGATCACAAAGATCTAGGAAATTACCTCCTGCAGTTATGCCCTAAAGTCATGAAACACTCTGTATAGCATAGGTGTACATGGTTATGGGAAATGCCTTTTCTTCCTGGGAACCGGTCATTGTGGTCAAAGTGATAATTAGAAATAAAGAACCTCTCATAGCCTTTGAGATGTATCTCTAAGAGCAGAGCCACATCTATATTTGTCTTGCAACTGTTTACTGAGCTCAGAACACCACCTTCTAATGCCATTTTTGGCTTATGAACTTTACCAGCAATTGTGTTACATTAGGTGCCATTTTTGTAATGACCATTTCTTTTTTCTTCTGACACAGCTTCATTGAGCTTTCTCATGATCTGTAGCACTGCAGTGGCTACTTTCAGTGTTTCATTGTTAGTCAAACTGTGGGCCTGTACTGACAAACCTGTTTTCTGTATTTCCTGTTTTGGCAGATGCTGCACATGGTGCCGCATGCTTTTCCTATCTCTGCTGTGCCTGTTTTTGGTGTTGTGTCTCTTGACGCAATGCAACTACGTAGGACTGCTCTGGTGAGATGAACTTAGAGAAGAATGTCCTCAGAAGATCCCTTTGAAGCTCATTGTGCTCTTATCTTTTGCAGTTCTCCGTTGGCATGGCTGCAGCCTTGATGTGATGCTGGATGAGTTTTCTCTCCTGCTATGGTGTAATTGCAGCAGCTTGGCTTCGATTCTTTGTTTTTCTTTTCAGGGCCTTCCTAATGCAGGTGGCCACCACTGTACCACAACCCTTGAGGTGTTTGCTTGCAGTAGGCCCAGACATGGCCAAAGTTTTCGCAGTTGTAGCACTAAGTAAGGCCAGCTGTGAGCTCTGTATATCCCTTGATTATATGGTAAAGATATTCAGCTTGAATGTCTCTTGAACATTTGTATTTCTTGTTAAGGTAACAATGAATAGAGGAATGGGTGTGTTTTTCTTTTGGGTGGTCAAGTCATTTGCCTCATGTTGATGCCATTGAACCATAAGTCCACAAGTCTGTGGGAAATTATCTTTAGTTGGCTTGTCTGGGAGAAGGTGATGGATTACTCCCTTCATAGGTATTTCAGAATTTGGGGAGAAGATAAAATAGTGGACATTACTTTTCCACAGGTAGGATTTTGTGGCTGAATAGACCATGACCTTTTTTTCATTATGATATGGGCTGTTTTATGTATTCTGGAACTCGTACTCACCTTTGACGTGGTTTGAAGTCAGATGAGGTCTGTAGTAGAAGTCATTATTGGTGGTAACCTACCTGGTTTTCTGGGAGCCTCCTGTTCCAGTAGTGTGTTAATAGTCTCTGTGTCTATGTCAGCAGTTCTGAGAGGCTGCGAAGAAGTTGTGGGTTAACTCTGCTTTTGGAGGCATCTTGACAGCTGTGGATATCGGCACTGGTTTAGTCGACTTTTTGGCTGTCTGTGGGGTATTATTAGAGCTATGCCTCCTTTGTCTATTTGTTTCCTAGAAGTTATCATCCTGGGCTGTTGATTCCACATTGGTTTTGTTCACTATACCACTCTATCCTGCCTGTGCATTGACCATCAGGGTTACCTTAATTTCATTCATTGTTACCTAGTACATGCCATAAGGAGGGCTAAAAAGTTGCCTGCCATGTAGAGCTTTGCAAAATTTTGCTCTGTTCTCCATGCTATTCACTGTAGAGGTCCACTCATAGCTTTCTCCCGCTTTAGCTTGTGTACATTTGGCAAGGTTCTCAATGTCACTGAGTATTTTATATGCCTGCTGCACTACAGAAGCTGCTTCGGGGCATTTTTTTCATGTTGCCATGACATTCAGATTTCAGCGATGCTATCTTGTGTGTCCAGTATTTCCTGGAATCCCGGTACTAGTACGTCCACCATCTTGGTGTACACTGCATTTCACTGTGTTTCTAGATTTTCTTGCTAACTCAGAGTAACTGCTACACATCCACTTCTCTTATTCTCCTCTCAATCACTATAGTACACACTGCCCTCTCAGGCTGTTGTAGTCTTCACCAGTTGTTGCTTGGTGCGTCGCTAGGCTACGGTTCCAAAAAATCGAGCTTCCTCTGCTCTTGCTCAACTCCGTTCTCACAAACTCTACTCCCTAACTTCTCCTGAACTACCTCAAAGTTACTTTATGACTGGCAGTGTACTGCCAATCAGTTCGTCTTGGTATCAGGCCCTTTGATCCCCACAACCAGAGATTATTTTTTTTTTCAGCTGAACTCTTGTGGTGATAGTTTTTATGTAACATCCTCTCTGATGAGAAGATGGGTTTGCCTCTTATGAACATGCTTGGCTTTTTGTCAAGTCACACATGTTACTGAAAATTCTTCCTTTTGCACTACACACATGTTCTCTGTCAGTACAGGCTTTACAGAACAGATCATGCCTAAATTACATATCTTATGCTACAACAGCCTCTTAGTCAGTTGAACAGTTGTAAAGTTGACCACTGCCAAGTTTAAGCCTCTTATATTTTCCGTGTCTGGCTTCACTTTTTCCTATGCCGTGAACATGTTCATTCTCATTTTGTATGACTTCTGCTTTTCGCCTGCACCATTTTGTTTTATAATCTTATTCACACGGAAGGTTGAAAGCTGTGTGGAAATAGTGGACCGGTGTGTATACATACGGAAAGTTGACAGCTGTGTGGAAATTGCGGACTTTGTTTTGCATGCTCTGCAATTTTAAGAGGTAGGTGTCTTCTGCTAATTCGCAGGCGGGACAAGCTTTAGTCATTACTGATCTGACCATTGTCTTATAGAGGGATAGTTTAATGTTGGCGCTTAAATGTTCACTTCTGAATATGGAGTAGATTCTGATAAATGTTCTGAAGGCCTTGGCTTCAGTCATTTCTGTGTGAAGTCTCCATGCAATCCTCTTAATGAAGATTACACCCAGATATTTTACATGATTGGCGAAGGGGTATTATGTCCATTCAATGTAAGATGAGCCTCAGGAGGCCTAAGTCTATGAGAAAAGTACTTGGTCAGTGTGTAATATACCCCCAGAGTGGGCACATAGAAACACTTTCCAACAGTACTTCCATTGTGCTGCCAAGTGGCTGCTCCAATACTGGTGCATATTTAAGAAGCTGTTGCCCAGCAGTGGTCCTTATCTTATTTGCTTCACTGTCATTACCTACAAATGGCACTGTATGTATCAGGAAAAACTGATAGTCTGCCTACAGGTGTTTGGCATTGATGCTTGGCATGGCAAGCTTATAAAGCAAAATCTGTCATTACTGTCTGCTGCATCCTGTATTTCTGTCAAACAGATTACTTTTGAATTTGGTTCCCCTTGAAGATGTGTATGCACTTCTTGATTTCCATTTCATGTGAAGCCTACTGTGACGTAATAATACTAGGAACATATGAAAATAATACTGGTGGCGGTGGTGGTGGGGGCAGCAAATAGGGTGGCAGTGGCAGTGGTGGTGGCATCAGCAGCAATATATGTTTATTCGAAACATAATTGTTGAAAGTTTTTTCTTTTTGTCTTTTTCCTGTTTTTATAATTGAAGTTACAGATTACTGAAACCCTTGTTGCAGAATGTATGAATCCTGAGGCAGATGAAAATTACCACATGGTAGACTCGTACAGTGATCGTCAGGTTGACAGAGACTGGTAAGTGTTAGTCAGCATTTAGCTTTCCTCACTCTCATTTATTGTACCTGTAGCTACATAGTGTAGAAAGTCTACAAAATAAATCAAGTTTTAGAAGGGCCCCTGTAATTGGCTCAGAATGTTGTCTGTGGTGATGTGTCTGTTACATACATAGCCTTGTGCTGTTTGAGTTGTTGTGATTTATACTATAACTCACCAGGTAACTCCATGCAGATGATTGCTTGAGAAGTCATCAATTACTCAGTCACTCAAAAAGTCTCAACATTTTATGCAACCTGAAGGTTCATTACTTTGTTCACAAGGGCCTTCCACTTTCTCTCTTCTGGGCCAGCTCAATCCACCCCATCCTTTTTGTCAGAACCATCTTAATGTTATCCTCCTACCTATGTTTAGGTCTTCCTAGTGGTCTGTTTCCTCATGGGTTTTCCACCATTATCCTATATGCAGTCTCTTCCTCCACCCCCATGTTTGCCACATTCCCTGCCTATCTCACCCCCCTTGACTTGATCATTCTGTTTATATTTGACAAAGCATACAAGTTATGAGGTTTCATATCAAGCATAAATAAATTATGACACACTTTCTGAAGTTGGTCCAAGGCAGTTGAACTAATTATGCATGTAAAATCCTCACCCTATACAACAAGTGCCATTACATAGTGAAAAGGTGGGAGTGTGGTGTGCTGTAAGTCCATGCCAAATCATTGGCCCTGTATTTTTCCATGAAACCGTGAACTCTGACTGCTACATTAATGGTATACTGAATCTGTCCTTCAATCAGCTGACTGCTGAAGAAAGACAATATGGGTATTTTTAGTAAGACATTGCTATGGCATATACGGCTAATGCATCCATGGTCGCAGTATGGGAAGTGTTTGAAGACAAAGTAATCAGCAGGAGACTGTGGCCTCCCATATCCCAAGATCTCAGATTTTGCGAATTTAATTTTTAGGGAAACCTAACGGGAAAAGTCTACAAGAATAATCCTCGCACAACTGAAGCTTTACAGAATGAAATAACATGCATAATTAGTTCAATTGCTGTGGACCAACTTCAGAAAGTGTCTCATAATTTATTTATGCAATGTGAGGCATGTGTGCAAGCAGAAGGGGTCACTTCCAACACCTGTTATAAAGCACAGTAAGTTTTGTTATCTTTTTACAGTAGTCCTATAAATGTGTGCATGTACAGAAACTGATGTGAGGGAATCAGTGACACAACTGCACTCTCTCTAGTGGGGAAGGGCACAATAGTTGTGGAGAAATGATCCATCTGCTCTGAGCTAGAGAGAGTGTGTGCGTTTATTAGTGCTGATGATTCATTCTGCTATCGGCAGTTACAGCAGCAATCTGTGAGAAATGTTGCATCCGACCCACGCTGCTCCCCTGGTTTCCTTGACGGTTAAACGCACTATAATTTTCTATGTTTTAATTCTTTCCAGATGTCTGAACTTAACACATTTTCAAAGGATCTGTTAGCTATTTTTATGTTGTGATTTTGCCTTACATTTTGTTGATGAGACATTAACATATAGTCACAATTTTAGTGTTACTATAGACAGGTTTTGGATTGATTACCAGATTGATTGGACTCTTTGGTACAGTGTGTGACTGCACTTCACAGTTCATCATTCCAAACACACACGTCTCTTTCTCTTCATTGCCGTTGCATCCCAGTGGCTTTCAGCAGTGGATGTTCCCCTTCCTCTGGGTTTCTGAACTGTCCCCAGCTTCAGCTGTCAGCCTCTAACAGCGAGAGCTCACAATGATTGAGCCCCAACAGTTCTCTGACTGGTTATAACATCTCGGCATGGACTGTATAGAAGGTGTCTCTTCCATTATTGATGTGTTCTCTCATTGTTTCTTAGCATTGGCTGGTGTATAGTTGCTTGTTTTTCAACTTTTGCCTAGCAAGTGGTCTACATGCCACTATATGATTTTTTTCTGTGTTTACGTCTAGACCACCCTCCTTACTAGGATTAATGAGTGTTTATGTTATCTCCTAATAGATATACATCATCAGCTTAGACCATAGTTTGTTTATTTTCATTCCCACCCAATATTCCTGAACCTTCCTAATTGCCTACTCTGAAGCAAAGGTGACATGTACTGATGGTAAGACATCTTGTTTTAGACGTTTTGGGCAGGAAATTTATGAGACAAATGTTTGCATATAGGTTTCATTTAAATACATTTTAATAATCCTAACTAGTTTCATGGATACCCAAATTCAATGAAAATATTATACACTACTTCACTCCTAACTGAATCAGGCTTTCTTGAAGCCTGTGAATAGCTGGTGAACTGTCAAATTGTACTCTGGTTTTTTCTTCAGTATCTGATGAATGCAAAAAAAAAGTCTGATCAGTAGTTGATCTGTTACGTTGAAAACAACACTGATGATCCCTATGCACAGGTAGTAGTGACTCAACTGTGTGTACAGGTATGCAGTTGCATCCATATGAGTCTTCATTAGTGAAGTCTCTCGACTAACATGACCAAGAAATTGGAGAAATACATGTAAAAAGTCCCTGCAGTTATGTAGTTTCTGTGGCAGTGCATGCCAAATCATTTCCCATACATACCTCTTACACTTCCACACCCTCTTTCACTTTAAATCTAAACCTAGAACATTCAGTAACATACTGCAGTATGCTTGAAATTTCAAAAGGGCCAAATGGCATAAATATAGAGATGAACTTGGTTAAACAATTCCAGATGTTCACTTAAATTTCAGGACAAAATTTTGCAGTTCGATTCTTTCTGCCCGGTTGTAAGACTCCAAAATATAAGCATTTTTGATCAGATATACTGACAAGATTAAGAAATGATAGAATACCAAGGGAAAGTGCAGAATTGTCAAAGGCCCTGAAAGATGTACAGACATGGAAAGAGAAGGCAGCACGTTTTAAAAGAGAAATTGTTTTTTTAAGAAACAGACTTTTCAAAACGTTTTTAAAAATCTGGAGTCTAAAAAATACAGTTCAGAAGTTCACAGATTCATCTCAGCCTTGAAGAACAAGCTTGATGTAAATGATAGAGAATCTGTAAGTTTCTAAGAACTCCTAGGTACACAAGTGCTTAACACATGCCCACAGCTATTTTATCACATTTGGGAAATATCAGTCCCAGCATTGTGGAAGGAAGCAGTGATCATTCCTATACTGAAAGCCAAAGAAACTAGCTTCAGAACTATCCAGCTATTGACGTATATCCTTAAAAAGTATCCTAGCTAAAATTATAGAAAAAATGGTCAGTGAAAGTCTGAACTGGTAGTTGCAAACTAAAAAGCTCATATCTCCAGCACAGTCAGTCTTCTGGATATTGCTCAGTAAATCAGCAAATTGTGATGTTTAACCAGGATATTAAGGATACCCCTGACAGAAAAGAAACAGTGCTTGCAGTGTTTATTGACCTCGTGGGTGCTTATTCTATTTGGAGAGTGAAACTTGTAGGCAAGTCACAGAAAGGATGAAATATGGACAATAGAGGTAAATGAAAGTCATTTACAATAAGCTAGAAAAATTGGCACAAGTGGATTGCACATATTGGCACACATGTTGAACTGGCATGACAGTTGAGATTTCAGTGACCCCCTAAATACTATTGTGAAGAACAATAAAGAAATTGGAAGAAGTTAAATCTGGTGTCGACTTTTCTCCAAGCAGCAGAAATTGCTGAAACATTTGCCACTGGAAAAACTGGAATTTGCACTTGCTGTGTGATTCAATCAAGCATGTGAGAGTAAGGCCTCCATAGGTGGCACCCATCTCAGAGAGAAGGCCTTGCTCATTGCCCCTTGTCTGGGAATAGCCAACTTTTCAGATTGCAATGGATTGATTGACAGATGTGAGAGGAGACATAATATTGTTTAGGAAAGTGTATCAGGTGACAGCAGGAGTATTGATCCAGAAACTGAAGAAGACTGGAAAGGTTACCAACTGTTGCAAGGAATTGAAGGTGTAGCTTATGTGATATAATGTAATGATGATGAGACAGTCTATTTTTCAGTCTGCGACCTATCCAAATTTCAGTTTATGAGGAGATTTTGCCATGGTGATATAAAATCTAAACAAAAGGTTACTGTACTCCTTGCATGCAATGCTGATGGTAGTGACGAACTGCCACCTCTTATAATTGGAAAATATACATACAAGTCCATGCTGCTTTATGAATGACAAGAGACTGCTTAGAAAATATAAAGCTAATATAAATTCTTGGATGGCCACAAAAACATTTGAAGATTATCTTACACAACCAGATAGAAAATTTGATGCTCATAGTCACACAATCGTGTTTTTCATTGATCATTGTGCTACCCATCTAAAGAACACATTTCTCAGTAATCTAAAATTTGTATTTCTCCCAGCTAACTGTACCAGCCAGCCACAGCCTCTAGATTTGGGAATCATCCATGCATTCGAGTGTTACTACAGAAAGCAGTTAATATGGAAGACTAGCCATGATAGGTGGGAGATTGTCCCAAGATGCAGCACAGATGAAGCTGGATGTGTTGTCTGCAGTGCTTTTCACAGCAGAGGCCTGGAGAGTGATAACACCCACTTCAATAAGAATTGCCTTGTGAAGTGCTGTTTCTCAATTGATCATGTCATCTGCAATGAGAGAGCATTGAAACTCAGTGAAGATGAAGAGGATGGCTGACACATGTTACAACCTTTTGGAGTGCAGTTTAAGGACTACACAACATGTGACAGTCTTCTGAGGTTTTTCAAGTCCAGAGTCAACCAGGTGTTAGATCAGCTTTTGACTAGACCAGAAGAAGAACGAGAAAAAGAGAAGGAGGAAGTTGCAAAACAAGGCACCATTCACTGATGCACTGAAAGGACTGCAAGCAGCCAAAAAGTACAGGTGTGAATTTAGTGCCGAGAACAGTATTCTTATTATGTGAAGCAAAGTTTAAAATGAATTATACAGCCTGAGAGTTCAAGAAAAAAAGAAACAAAATATTCTTATTGAATGGTTAAATAAATAGTGTAACTAC